TATAGTGCATTATTTACATTTAATTTTGCACTTTTTAGAGGAGTGGTGGATAAAATAGAGAAGAGAAGATGCCTAGAGAAAATGTGTCACGTGTGTCACACTAGGGGAAATTCAGGATTTTTTTAAAATATTGCCTTGTAGAATTAAGAACTTAAAACTTATATACTATTAAAATATGGATAATTAGTGAAGCTTTTATGCTATATTAATTGGTATAACATAAACAAAAAACAGTTTAATAAAAATTTGAATGTAAAACACTAAAACCTTGTGTCATGCGCAGTAAAGGATACCATGATGATAGGGGTTAATATGTAAAGTAAGTATACTATATGATTTTTCTACATTATTGCCCACAACAATTTAATATACAAATAAGGATTTCAAAATTAATTAATTCTTTAAAAAAGCATATTCATATTATAATAACAAAACATCCAACACTGTAGTGTATTTCACTATGATTATTGAGTTCACCAAAGCTTTCTTGGTAATACTTACTAAATTGTGACTATTTTACAAAGTGTGAAATTTAAAAAACTGAAAAGAAACTTACTGATATTATAGTTCTTTTCAAAATAAGTCACCCTGTTTCTTTCTTCATACATTTCAAAATAAGGTTCCACGTAGGTTATTTGAATGTAAGCCTATATCAAAAGGTTGAAAAACACAACTCAGACATCGACACACATCGTGAAGGGTATTAATCATCTAACATTTTAGAAGAAACAACAATCATTCATTATTATTTTTTTGTCAGTACTATAAGAATAAATATGAGACAATGTATTATGTGCATGTTGATTAACTAATTATTTGTAGTTTTCCAGATGTTATTTATATTTCATTAGGACTTACTATAAATAGATAACTTTGTTTTGGCTTCTTCGTATTTTACTGTCTTTGTATTTAGTAGCTATAGCAAAGCTGCTGATGCTATCTGCTGCCGTTCTTAGTTTTAACTACTGACTGAGGGATGGCAACTTGTCAGTAGCACTCTACTACCACATTAAGGGATTGACTGTCACTCTCATAACACACCTACAGTTTAAAAGTGCAAGGTAATATTATGTGGTATTGCAGAGATTCCAACAAAGCTCACTACCTATGAAGTCTGTTCTACCAGATGAGCCTTCCAGTGGCTCAGCGGTAAGTTTGAAGGCTTATAACACTATATACCAAATTTCGATACCTGTGGTGTGCATAACACACATAACTTGTTGTGTAGCTTTGTGCTTAACAACAAACAAATCTACAACAAGGCAAACCCATGCTCCCATGTTTAACTCACTGTGTAGGTTTTCAAGCAATGTAAACTTTTAAACAAAGATATCTTTAAATATACAGATCCAAAGACCTCTACAACTAAAAGGAAAAACTCAATTTGTCAAAAATTTAACATTTTCCTTTACTTTTTCTGGGTTTAGTTTTGATGAGTCAACAGTGTTGGAGTCCTTGATGACCTCTGCATATTCAGCTCCAAACCTTTCTGCATAAAAATTCTAAAAAAACAACAAAACCTTTTAACAATACACAATAAAATATATTTGATTTATAGATGAATATTATTGTATAACTACATGATAGTGAAAAAACATGCAGGATCAAAAAGGTCATTAAATCACGTGAAAAATTGAAAACTGACAAAATCTAGAATGTTTCACAGGTGGAACTGTCAAAAGTACAAGTTTTTTAATATGATTGTATAGTTACAGTTTCATTTTATTATAAGAAATTCTGCTATTTTTCAGTTCAAGAATAATAAAAGTACTAATAATGTAAGTAATATCATGTTGCTCAATGCAAATATGAAGATAATTTCATAAGACTATTTTACCTCTAAGCGATGAGATATCTCCGGTAGTTTGGTCAGGGTTGGTTCCTTGTAAATGAATTCTTTTTCATCCAAGTCTCCAAATTTGTAGCCATAGAACCCCACTCTAAAGTAGGTGCCAAAAACACGCTTTCCAGTCTTGATAAAAGTAAACAAAACTACACATATTAAAGTTGGTGTTAAAGACATACTTTCTAATACTAAGAAAAGTAAAACAAACTACAAATTTTAATCACCTTTTTAATACATACTTTACAATAGGTATTTTTTCCATAGTTATTCAAACAAATACCTAAGAAAACTAGTTTTTGATGCATAACAGAAATAATTTATTTAATAATCATGGTTAACACCTGTTGATCTATTTTGGTGAAAGCCTCATGAAGTTTGCTGTGAATATTAGCCAATTTCTTGTAATCTCGATGAGCTTCGGCAATTGGTATCAGGATTTTGTAGACTTCATTCATTGCCTCATACATTCCTGCCTATGAAATGGGGTATTTAGAAGACTTTTAATGAATTATTATCAAACATGAGTTTATATGTTAACTTTCACTTGATATTTGCAAAAACTAAATTTACAATAATAAATATACATCTCTATAAATTTTTCCAAAATGAAAATATAACTGAGACACGCTCAATAACAGAAAAATGCAACAATTACCCTTTGATTACATTTTAAGCATCATTATAAAGGATGTTATTAAAGTTATTTGTGTGTAATCCTTTTCTAAATCTAAGATATGTTTGAACAAAATGCAAGTTACTAAGTTGTTTACCAGAGAGAAAGAACTAGCAGCTTGTTCCAGCAAACCAATGAGACCATTCTCAGTAAAATACTTTCCAGTACAAATTCCTTCTTCATCAGGGGACAAAATGTCATCTGATACAGCACTTTCCTCGAGAATGTTGTATGACAGGGACTGTGATGAACAATCAGACATTAAATACGTTGTTTAAACTCTCATTTTAACCCTATGTGCTTGGGGTTAGTCTTAAGAAAAAATCCCAAATTGGAGAATTACTATTTATTATAATTCTGAATTTACTTTGTGTATCTTCATGAAATTTGGCAAACTTTTTGTTAACTTTAGAATTCAGTTGTACACACACACACGCACACAAAAAAATCTGAATTTTTAATAAAGTATTTTTACTAAAGATTTGTTAGTGAATTTAATAAGTCAGTCTGACTCAAACTGAGTGCAAAATAATTTTCCTTTTATGAATTAAAATACTTTTTTTTTCGTCTTACAGTTTTGTATTTCATTTTCATAACCTCTAGAACCTTCTAAACAAATATCAAGTTTTTTCTGGTAAAACTGTATATTTTATGGGTTATTTTGTCTACTCATGATCAATTTACAGTGAAATGAAAGGTTGAAAAAGATGAAATAAAATTAACAATAGCTTTTTCTTTAGATGCATAATATTGCTTGTTTCATGTAGGTCTTATCTAGAAAGTTAACTGTTAACTTTTTCACACCTATTTTCTGTAAATTTGTGGTTTTATTGTTGTACTTAGTACTTACTTGAACTCTGATCTGTCCACCAAAACCTATAAACACAGTGGGAAGTAATTAGCCACAGGTCATAAATATCACAGGCAAGGTACGTGGCCCATGTGATATTTGGTTTGCGCGTACAAACTATAATTGAGCTTGGCCTGACATTTTTCACAAAGTTAGTTCTTCAGATAAAAATTCCTGGAGCTTTCCAATATACATTTTAGAACAGAAAACATATATTAGGCAATATAACAAAAGATCCCAAAACAACCATAATTTAACTGGCTTCTAACTAAGCTACAAATAGGTTAAAAAATGCATTTTCCTGATAGGAGAAGAAAAACATGATAGCAAAAAATGAAACAGAGGCCAATTGCCTAATTATGAGTGTCAACACGAACTAGCTTCCCAATGAACCTTGTTAAGAACAATTTGGTTTAGGCCAATTGCTTAATCACAAGTGTCAACACAAACTAGCCTCTCAATGAACTTTGCAAAGAACAATTTCGTTTTGGCCAAGTACCTAATCATGAGCGACAACACGAACTAGCTTCCCAATGAACCTTGTTAAGAACAATTTGGTTTAGGCCAATTGCTTAATCACAAGTGTCAACACAAACTAGCCTCTCAATGAACTTTGCGAAGAACAATTTCGTTTTGGCCAAGTACCTAATCATGAGCGACAACACGAACCAACTTCTTAATGTATCTTGTGAAGAACAATTTGGTTGAACCCAAATGCCTAATTACAAGTGTCAACACGAACTAGCCTTCCAACGAACTCTGTGAAGAACAATTTGGTTGAGACCAAATGCCTAATTACAAGCATCAACACAAACTAGCCTTCCAATGAACTTTGTGAAGAACAATTTGGTTGAGACCAAATGCCTAATTCAAGCGTAATCACAAGCTAGCCTTCCAGTGAACTTTGTGAAGAACAATTTTGTCAAAAATAATCTAATAGCAAATGTCAAAGAAAAATACTGATATTTTATGAAAGACAGATTGGGATAAGAGAGGCATGACATGTGGATTTGATCGATTTTTTTATATCTCAGTAAAGTAAGAAGCTTGGAGGCTAGTGATTTATATTCTGGTTTTCCAATATCAGTAGTATAAGTGTGTTGTTGGTGGAACACTCAGAAGATCAAATAAGAGTAGAAAACAAATGTAAAATAAGCAATTTGGAGTACAGATTTAAGGTGATACAAAGAAGTGAAGATTGAAAATTTATTTAAATATTTCCTATTGAAATTAAAACTTTGAATCATAAACTACATTTTGATGCCAAACTTATTTACATGCATCAAAGATAAAGTTATTTAAATTTTTAAATGCAACTCTATAAAAAGGATTTTTACATTCAAACTTTGACCCTTCCAAACACATAAGGTTAAGTAGACATATATACTTCTCTTACAAACTTACATTAAAACAAACAAAAATAACAATTATCTGAAAAATGTAATAAGGTGAATGAGGAATTTTGTTGAGACAGATATTTCCTACTAATTTCCTTCAGAATTAAAAGTTGATTATCTAAGAAAGTTTTCCTACACTGGCCAATGCAGGTTAATACTGCTGGAAATGAACACATGTATAAGCACTTTCAGTAGCTTTTCCTTCACCTTTTGTTTTTTGGGTTATGAGTAACAAAACACTGACTAAAAATCACCGTGATGTATCAATAGATATCTATGTACTTATCTTGCGGGTTGATATTCTTTATCATAAAAAATTAACAATTACAACATTTACTCATCCCTTCATCATTAACATGATAAAAGTTGAGATTTATACTAGTGAACAAACACCTGTCAATACTAACCTCGAAACTTACACACCCTATTGGAAGATATGGTTTGTCTTCTAGCATGTGTAAATATTCGGCCACCAGAGCTGCTGAGTGGACTAGACAGTGTGCAGCCTCTGCATGATTAAATCTCTGAAAGGTATACAGTCTTTCTTGAAGTGGGCTTATAAAGTGTGAAATACACAGTCAATGTATTTTAGACTTTCAGTTTTTTAATCTGATACTAAACTCTTAGCTGATTCTCAATCAATTAAAAAAAATTACAAAAATAGAAAATAGTGATATCTTTAATTAAAACATAACCATTACAAAAAAGAAAGGTTTTCAAATTTCATCTCACTCACCTCATCCTTGAAAAGTTACCTAATGTCACACAGATTTCATATCTAGCTTAACAATTAAAACATTCAATTGATGTTAAAAGTTAACTAAAGTCTATTTAGCATTTCTAAAATTAAACTTTTAATCTCAACTGATTAAACTATTGTTGTCCTTACTGCCTTCAGAGGACAAACAAAACCACAACTTTCTGATTATACTATCATTGTCCTGACTGCCTTCAGATGACAAACAAAACCACAACTTTCTGATTAAACTATCATTGTCCTGACTGCCTTCAGAAGACAAATAAAACCACAACTTCCTGCTTAAACTATCATTGTCCTGACTGCCTTCAGAGGACAAACAAAACCACAACTTTCTGATTATACTATCATTATCCTGACTGCCTTCAGATGACAAACAAAACCACAACTTTCTGATTAAACTATCATTGTCCTGACTGCCTTCAGAGCAATAAAAACACAACTTCCTGATTGAACAAACAAAATCATGACTTCATGTTGTTAGCATTGATTCTTAAGGTAAGCCAGTTGTATCAGTTTTTACAACCCCAAACTTTATGTATTTGATATCACTTGTATTTGAAACCAAAAACTCTAAGTGAATTTGTACTTAATACCTTTCATAGCAAAGTGTTTAGAAAATTAATCAAAAATCATAAATTATGTTACTTTCAGACATATAATTCCCACTAAAAAAAGATAATAGGTCTGCTTATAACAGCTAATCATTTGCAGCATTTAGTAGTTTTGTGCATGATAGTTCACATGAAGCAACTGAATATTTTTGAGGGAATTTTGCAATTGCTTCAAGATATTTAATAGTCAAAAAGAGTTTAAAAATAGTTATAACAAATTTCCGAGTTTTAAGTGAACATGTACAGGGAGAAATGATGTAAGTAAAGACGCCTGTATTACGAAATAACGCAGAGAGCTAGAGAGTTCAACTAGCTGGGTTAGTGGCATTGAGAATTACGTAAAGATATTGCCTAGCAACGAAGTAAGTGCACGAGCACCCGTGACAGGTTGTGATGGATTACTGACGCTAACTTATTAGCACTATGAAAGCTATGAAAAAGTTGATGTTAACAAGCAAAAGTGGTACTTTGATGCCATATCCCTTACAAGACACTAGTGTATGGGTACAAGTAGAGAGACAACCGACTAACTCCGCCATAACAGTAACCAATCACTTGAGAGTTTTGACTAGTCCGGGAAGTTGCACAGATTGACCAATAAGGTGGTAGAACTACTTGCGGGTAGTTCTGGATATTATTTGGAAGGCCGAGAGAATACCAAGAAAATATGGTTTAAAAACCCCTGTCTGAAACCAAAAAGTAAGTTTCCTTCAAGAGTACAGGATTCTCCTCTAGGTTCTCGAATTATTCGTCAATGTGACTCTGAAAGTCTCAAAGCTCCAAAAGTTTACCAGTCCAGCACTGTTGTAAGTCTAATATTGTGGTTTCTCTTGATCAGTTAATGTAAGTAATATTAAAATGATATTCATGTTCAACTAAGAGAAGTGTACTTTATGTGTATTAACGGATAGTATAGATTAACGGTAGTTGGAAAGTGTATAACAATTAACAGACTTTTGATTTACATTGGATGTTATTTGGAAATGTTTAATAAATGTTATTATAATCTGTTCAATGTTGGTTTGGGACTCTGATTCTTTATTCTAACTGTAAATTACCTTGAGCTAGTGACTTGTGAGCTCCACTCACCACTGCAAATCCTCCACTAAATAAATCTGGTGTGACTGGCAGTGTAATTGAAACTCCAACAATTAAGCCCACAAGGGTGCTGCCCGTTACACAATTACAATTTATACTAACTGTAACTCACAGACGTCTGTTTACTAGCCTGTAAATCAATACTAACTATCAGAAACAACATCAGTAAGTTTTATACACTTCTGTATGTTGCTGAGAAACTTTTGCAATTAAAAAAAATTTCAAACCTCAGTATGCTTCTGAGCCATGTTTGCTAGCCAAGTAAGTCGCAAATCAGGAGAGTTCTGGTAACCCTTAGCAATCCGATACATCAGGTCCATCAACATTTCTGGATCTTCCTGGAACTCCTTCATTTTTACTGTGTCTGAGAGTATCATATGCAGGTTGAATACCAAATCCCGCACCTACCACAAGAGAAAATTTTAATAGGTCTTGAATAAATACATATTTGTTCAACTAAGCTACTGTACAGATTTACTATAAGGAAAACTCCACTGACTCAATACAACAAGATTAATTTTAGCATGATTCATTAATAACAAAATGAAGATTGTGGATCCAATTTTTTCCCTATGAAAATCTGTTTTTTTTGGTGTGAATTAGCCGAGTCTGGTTACAGATCATGTCAGTTTCTGTGAAAACAATCTACTGAATTTTCAAAATTAAATGCATTTTATTAACATTTGATTTACACTTTTGTTGAATGCATGAAGTTTTAACTAACTTCTTCACTATTAACATTTCTTAACAATTAACATTATTTTCAATAATAATGTTCAACATGTAAATTCAAAACATGTGTATTCAAAATTCAATTAATTTTTGCATAACTTAAAAAGTAGATGAATGATTCTCAATACGCATGAATTTCTTGTAACAACTGTGTAATGAAGATTGGAATACACAAGTAAAATTAACAAATAGTTTTAAATTAATGGTTTAACAGCATAAATCAAATTCAATTCACTTAGATTATATATAACTATTCAAAACATGTTATGAATGCCATGATAGCATGGAAAATAGGTAGGTGGGGTAATTTTTTTTATGGTCAAATTATCTTGTATTGATGCAGAGATGTGTCTTGTGGGATACAAAATTTTCACAAGAGGTACACTGAAAATCATAGGTGTTGTTCACAAAAGTCAGAACATGATACTGGGTGAAATATGCTTACTGTCATTCTCAAACATATCAAGGCTATCCCAAAATGAAGATCCTGAAGGCATCATGTGTTCTGAACAGTATTCATTGATAATAGGTAGGCAACAAATGATTTATAAGCATAAGGAAAAGTTTTACTGACGGTGGAACATACTACATGTTTCGACAGAACATTGGTCTGTCTTCTACAGATATGATGAGTACTAAGCAATACAAGGTTTATATATCATTAGAAAGACAAAAGATTAAATGTGATGGAAATAGTGTCAGCAGATGACAGGATATAGGTAAATGTCAAGTCTGGTCAAGTATATGAACAGTGAATAGACCTCACCAAATATGGTTGATGTTGTTAGGGCCATTATCATGGTTTAGTGAGAGATCATTTACTTTGATGATTTCTATAGTTCCTAAACAAACAGTCTCTTTCTTTTTTAGTATTGGGTTTGTGTAGGAGAAGAATTTCATCCCAAAGTACTTTGTGTCCTGTTTCATAATGATGGAATGTTAAGGTGGATAACTAGAATTCACATCTAAACATGCAACCTTTGTGTTCTTTGTGTCTTATTTCTAAGGAATGTGACATTTGTCCAATGTATTTCTTTCCACATTCACATGGGATACTGTATATGCCCTGTTTTTGTTCTTTTAATAGGGATTCTTCTGGGTTAAGTAATAAGATGCTAATTTTTATGTGAAGGTTTGAATACAGTTTTTACATCAATGCTCAATTTAATAAAAAGGCTAATAATTTCATTAGAAATTTCTGGCACAAAAAAAGGAATGCAACAAATTTGTTATGCTTGAATGGGTTGATTTGTTGATATGTGAAAGGTTATAATCACTCTATCACTGTATCCAAGCTTATAATGTGAGAGTTGAACAAACAAATGAATATTTACTCTATTTATAAATGACCTTTTTCTGTCTGTCAAATTTTGTTATGTTTTACTTTGCTGATTACCTGGTTCTGTTAGCATACTTGAAAATTATAATTTCACTTTTAAATCATAGTATAGTAGCTACGTTTCCTTTAAAGAAACTTTCAGGTTTCATTTCATAGTTTTTGTTGTTATGAATGAGTTATCTATATAAAGAATCTGTGGTAAGACTTTCAACTAAGATGCTTAACACACTCTTTGCTACAATACTCTGTTCTAATCTTGTTATAAGATACCAAATCCTGTACATTTTTCCATACAGAGAAAATTTTTAACTATAAAACACCATAAGTATACAAATATAAAGCTGTCCAGCACGACTCGGATTGTTGTCTTTTTTTAAAGAGAAATAAGCAACTTACCTGTTCTGGAAAAGTAGTTTCCTGAAGTTCTGAATCACTTTCTGCATACACCAGGATGGTTTTTAATGACCGACGTAGATATGCTTCATTAAAGTTCTGATTGGTTCCAACCAATGAACTCAGCGACATTGTCACCTGCATTTTCACTCTTGCAAAGTTCTGTAAAATATGTAGATACTTAATAAACAAACTTGATAACAAACACACATGATTTACAGATCCTAATGTTAACTCCCTCATATCAACATTCAATATTTTCTTTACTCAAGACTAAAAACTCTTTACTTAACCAAATTTGTATACAGACCACTTGCAAAGTTCTGTAAAACATGATACTTAATAAACATGAAACAAAACTTGATAACAAACACAAATGGTTTACAGATCCTAATATAAAGTCCCTCATACCAACATGTAATAACTTCTTTATTCTCAACAAACAAAAAACAAAGTTAAACATTAAAACAAAGCATGGTTTTATAAGCTGTACCCTTCTTTTTATATTCAGATTATATCAAGTAAAGTTTAAAACCTGTGACCAGCATCAACTTACTTTGTATAGTCTACTTTTATAAAACAAAGAACATTTAGAGTTACATCAAAGCAAGTTTTATATACTGTACCTCTCTTTTCTCTACACACACCTCTTGCAAGCAAAGTTCGAAACAAGTGTGTGTACAAACTCTGTGGAGGTTTGACTACACTTAGAAAGAATCTAAACAGGCTTCAGTGAGCTACCAGAATGGTTCTAAATTTAGTCATTTATATTTTATTACACAGAAAATTTATAGCTTTAGATGTATTAATAGAGAAAGCTCTTATGATTCCTTTTATATATATATATATATATAGGCTCAAATACTTTTAGAAACTAACAATTTGCTCAGTGTTAATAGTCACACAAATGTTGCTTACACTTATTTGTCAGTGATTTCACCTCTGTTATCTCAATGAATATACTATCACAATCATAACAATTCACTATAGTGTAACTGTTTACAGGGTCTAAATTATGTATCTCAAATACAATTTGATAATATATATATATATATATAAAATCTGAAATCCCGAATCTCTAATAAGTTTATTAACCCTTCACAAAAGTACACAACATTTTAGTCCTTGCTATTAGCAAGTCACATTAAACATTGTACATTAGTACTAAAATGTAAACAACAAAAAAACAAAAACGTTTTAACATACCTGTTTTATGAGATTGGATGTATTTTCAAAAAACATTACCCAATAGAATGTTACAGTAGGTTTTATTTCCACAAAACAACATTACCCAACAGAATGTTACAGTAGGTTTTATTTCCACAAAACAACATTACCCAACAGAATGTTACAGTAGGTTTTATTTCCACAAAACAACATTACCCAATAGAATGTTACAGTAGGTTTTATTTCCACATAACAACATTATCCAATAGAATGTTACAGTAGGTTTTATTTCCACAAAACAAAATTACCCAATAGAATGTTACAGTAGGTTTTATTTCCACAAAACAACATTACCCAATAGAATGTTACAGTGTGTTTTATTTCCACAAAACAACATTACCCACCACCATGTTGCAGTAAGTTATATTTCCACAAAACTACACTACCCACCACCATGTTGCAGTAAGTTATATTTCCACAAAACAACACTACCCACAACCATGGTGCAGTAAGTTTTATTTTCACAAAACAACATTACCCACTACCATGGTGCAGTAAGTTTTATTTCACAAAACAACACTACCCACTACCATGGTGCAGTAAGTTTTATTTCACAAAACAACATTACCCA